CCCACTACGTCACCACAGCCCAGCAAGTCCCCCCACTACGTCACCACAGCCCAGCAAGTACCCCCACTATGTCACACCAACTCATTCAGCAACCTCAATGGCATTTTCCAAAGTGATTTAGGCATTGACGCCCCATTGATGGCTATGGGAATTTTGGCTTCTAAATGCCTATATTCCATTAGAAAATGTGATCCAGGTTCCTAAATCAGGTAGATTTTGCAACCTTTAAAAATCTGGGCCTTCACCCTTAGAGTGTGACTGGCCTCCAGCCAACCCGGACCTCACCTCTGGCCTTCACTTAGTTGCTGTTCTAATCCATCGATCGGTATCAATGCTGCCGTCCATCACTGGTATCTGAGCACCTTTCACACCAAATCAATATCACCTGCAAAGCCCCCCTGGATTTCATGGAGTCTTCTGCACTTCCTCTTTTTTCTGGGGCTGTGTCCAGACTCAGGGGTTTTTTCGGGAAAAGTAGCCTTTTCCCGAAAAAACTTCCCCTGCGTCCAGACTCAAGCCGCGTTCTTTCGAAATAATTTCAAAATACCGCGTTCTTTCGATGGCGGTAAACCTCGTTTCATGAGGAAGAACGCCTTCTTTCGAAAGTTCCTCTTTCGAAGGAAGGCGTTCTTCAATGTAAATAGGGCTTCCTCGAAAGAGAGCATCCAGACTCGCTGGGTGCTCTCTTTCGAAAAAGCGGATTGCTCTTTCGAAAGATCCGCCTGCAGTCTAGACGCGATCTTTCGAAAGAGGCTCTTTCGAAAGATGCTTTCGAAAGAGCCTCTTTCGAAAGAAGCCTGCAGTCTAGACATAGCCTGGGTGAAAAACGATTTCGGAAAGGGATTTTGGGTTTCAAGCCTTTTTCAATTGGCTTTTGGGTCGATTTGTTCCCGTGTAGGGTTTTAGCTGCTAGCAGCGTTCCCTGTAAGCTGTGCGAGAGATTCAGAGGCCGTCCAGCTGATTAGCAGAGAGCCCACAGCTAGATTTTGTGTTTCTTCTGGTGGTGCACATTCACACATGCCTCAGTGCACAGAGAGAAATTTATTCCACACCTGTGCACATGGATGGAAAAGATTAAAGGGACCCTTGGTTGCTAGTGATTTATTCGGTAGACGGGAGGGTTAGTGTTGGGGTTTGGGATATGAGGTGGGGTCAGTGTTAGGATATCGGGATAGAAGCGATGATCCGGTTTTGGGGGGTCTGCGTTGGGGTTTGGAGGTAGTAGGCAGTGTCCGTTGTACAGCGAAGAGGCCTTTTCAAAGGGGAAGGTTTGGCAGCGTTTCCTGCAGAGGGTCAGACTTTCTGAATTTGTTTGGTTTTCTTTGGGGCTTTGTGTCCTGGTCGGAGACAGAGAATAAACAGAGAACGGTTTATCTCCGGCTCTCCCCTGCTCCGCCCTGGGCGGCGAGAGCTGCAGTGCCCTGGTGGAGCCCAGCTGCTGCCGCGGGTCAGATCAAAGCCCAGTTCTTGGTGTAGCCGGGGCTTGGTGCATTGATTGCTTTTAACAGCGAGAGCGAGGCCGTGGGAGCTGGTTGGGGCCAGTGGAGGGACTTCAGTCCAGGAGCTGAGGAGAGGAGGCTGCTGCATCTCTCCTAGCTGGAGCCTGTGCTGCATCCTCTCGTTCGGGGCCAGTGCGTTACCGAGACCCAGCCTGCAGGGGCTGAATGCAGAGAACCAGCCTGGAGCTGGGGCCAGGGCCGCACAGTGGCTGCCCGGCTGTTCCCAGGGCGGGCCGCATGGCAGCTGGAGCCAGGGCTGCGATGAGGCTGCTCCTGGGGCCAGGGCCCCCTGCACCCCTCTTCCCCTCTCCCTGCCCTCTGGCTCTGAGCCCCCTGCCCTCTTCAGCCCCCTGCCAGCTGCCTGGCTCCCCACGTTGCTGCCCCAGCTGCAAATCCTGGGGGCTGGCAGCAGCTTCCCTCTGCCCCAGGCAGGGACTTGCAGCTGCCCAGAGGGGAGCAGCCCGGGGCTGCCCCTGCCCTGCACACAGGCTGCCCGGAGCAGCGCTCCCGGGGGGGAGGGGAGGTCTCAAATTCTCCCCACGACGGGGGGTGCAGCCTGGGAGCTGGGCTTGAAGTCCCAGCTAGCAGGGTGGGGGCAGGCTGGGGGTCTCTGCACTGGGACAGTCCCTCAGGGAGCAGCGCCCCTAGAGGGTGCAACAGGGCACCCATCCGAACAAGCGCCTGTGACCTCCATACTGGGGCAGGCCACCGAACCCGATGGGCTCCTGGATGGAGAATCTTTGCTCAGCGGGAGGCCGTTTCCTAGTGAGCTGGAGGGGCCCCGGCCACCTCCCCGAAATGTTTCCCCTACCTGACCGGCCTCGCGAGCCCAGCTGCTCCCTGGCCAGGGCCCCGGCCGCTCCCCCGGAGCTGGGCCTGGGTTCGCGACTGCCCGCCAGAGCTGGAGACACGCCACAGGAATCGGTGGCACATTCCTTATCCTGGAGAGAGTCCTCAGCATCCTCATCGGCTCCGCTTGCGGCAGGGGGGCCGCCCC